CATAAATGGGATGACATATTTATCAAGCCTCTTGCTATAGAAACATTTGAATTTGTTAAAAATATTATAAACATGCATTTTGTAAAATAATAGTGCTTGCTTCTTGTGATGAGGTGGGAGAACTGACTTGAGGTTTTGCGTTTGTGTTCGCAAATGTTTCGGTTTAGCAAGAGTCACCATCGACTTTTTATTTTAACCAAAGGAAAGGTCAAAAAGCACAGGAAAGACCTTTGAGATGTTTTCTTGTGTTCGGGGGGTAGATTATGAAAAGGGAAGGTGCAAGCACCCTTTTCATCCATGGTTATCCATGGGCTCTTAGTTACTTATTTAGATCACTTGCTTTTGCTTTTCAATTGTTTGAAATGGTGCTTTCTGTGTGGTTTTGAAAATGTTTTGAAAAGAGGCCATCATTGTGGCAACCTTTGTAATGATTCTTGTTTGAATGTATACAAAGGTGTTTGTCTTTTGAAAAGATGTTTCAATGTTTGAAAGTTTTGTTTTGAGAAATGTTTTGAAATTGTGTTGTGAGGTGTGTTTGAAAATAGAAAGGATGTTTTTGCAATTTTTGATCAAGTAACTAAGAGTTATCTACCCTATCTACTCAAAGATATTTCCTACACATTTTTAACCCTTTTGAAATTGTTGTTTTACCATTGCATTTGGTAAACAACCTTGTGTTTGGATGTTAAACGGGACTGGCGCGGGTCATCGTATTGACCATGATAGAAATAGTGCTAAGTATCTTTAGCAATTTTTTAAGGGACTAGATCATTTTGTATAGGCAACTAAGATAGCGTCATCGAGGGACTATGATCTTTTGTTTTGTTTTTCTTTTTGTTTTGCCAAGATACTCAACATGCATACCATGGCCATTTTAAAGGCAAAAAGTGGATGAAACCCTAGGGGTGCATGTGTGCATTGTGTTGTCAATTTACATGCTTTTATGTCTTGTATCAGATCTAACTATTTGTTTTGATTTTGGATATTGCATACAAACCCTAATCTCTATCATGGCATATTTGAAAGCATAAATGCGTAAAAGTAATCTAAGCTATTACAACATTGATATGGGGAGGGGGATACAATTTTGGATAGGGGATTATTTTGCAAGAAATTAAAACCCTAAATTATTACAACCAAATTGAATTTCTTTGCTCAAATGATAAATAAGCAATATTTAAATAGACAAGTAAATAAATATGCAATATATTATAAATATGCAAAAAGAAATGTTTTTGTTTATTTTTATGTATGTAAAAATAAAATATTTAATGTATTAAAAAAAGAAAATAAAAAGTTATTTTTGTTAAGGGAAAAACCCTAAATTTTGTTTTAAGAATATGTATGAAAATTATAATATTTATTTATTTATGTACAATAAAATAAATAAAAAAATATATTCAAGTGTCAAAAAATAAAAAAAATATTAGAAAAAAAATATTATTTTTTATAAGGGTGGAAACCCTAGTTTTTTTTTGTTTTAAGACAATATATATTATATTATTTATTTATATACAAGAAAATAAATATAAATATATACAAAGATATTAAGAAATAAACATGTGAAAAAATATTATTTTATATGTATAAATAACAAAAATAAAAATGTATAATATTTCTATGATATTTATAAGTTTTTATTAAAGAGAATAAAAGTATATACTATTTAATAATTATTTTTATGTCTAAAAAATAATAAAAAATAATAAAATAAAATGTGAAAATTTATGAAAATGTTTTTGGTAATTTTTTATATTTAGAAAAATAAAATAAAGTCAGAAACTAAAAAAGAAATGAAAAAAATTTGAAAATATAAATCAAATGGGCTGAGGGGTGTAAACAGCAAAGAGGGGGGGGGGGGGGGGGGGTGTAAAAAACAAGCCAAGCCAAGGCCCAACCCACTTTCTTCGTCTTCAACCTCTAGTTCAAATAAAACGCGCGTTTCCTGTACAAATGTCCAACTCCTGCATACGTGCTCTAAAGCAAAAACTCACAACATGAAAGTTATAGCATGTTTCAACACGATTCCAACCATATAAAGAACTTAATCTAACTCTCAAAGACCAGAGAGAATTTCTCTGGCCCTAATTTCTAACCTAACTTTTTCAGGAAGTTCATCAATCAAATTCTCTCAGCACACTTAACTTAAATGAAAACTAAGCATATGTACAGCTTAAGGGCTATGAGTACTACATTTTTTATTCACAAACCTAAGCGTAATGATTCCTAAATAGATAGATAGAAAGTTGACAAATACCTGTTTCAGATGAACTCGTGTATGGAAATGTGGAGGTTTTCAATGAGGCCTGAGATGTTTGTGAGCTTGCCTGAACTTCCTCTGACCTTCCCCAATGCCTTGTTTGCCTTGAGCTTGCTTGAATGAGCCTGTAGAAGTCAACCTGCCCAAGCTGAAATCAGAAATGGTGAAGCTTGAAAATGGTGTTACAGTCAATGGCTAATGGTTGGGATAGTTCAGATGGGTTATATGGAAGGTATTGGAACTGGTTTGGGACAAAACGCACAAGTGGTTTTTGTTTTGGAACTGAAAGTGCAGAAGCTGCCCTGTTTTGCAAGAGGAATGTGTTTTGATGTTCAAGAGTGTTTGAGGGATGGATGGATCGTGTTTCTGGCTCAAGGCAATGTGAAAAACTTGTTTGGAATGGTTACCACACTTGTTCTTATCAGATTTTAAAGATATGTCCTTTTGGCAAGTTGACTTGTTTTTGAAGAAAAGGTAGGAAGTGACAAAGGCCAAGGTTGTACAAGCTAGCTCAAGGTATGCATAAGGTTGGTGAGCTTTTTCTGAAGTTTGTGGACTTTGTTTGTATCAAGAGATCGGGTCCATGGCTCAAGAAATACAAAATTGCAAAAAGCATGCTTTATGGAAATGGTATTGCAACCTTTATGCCATAAATGGATTAATTCATTGTGCCAAGCTTCAAAGATCAGAATAAGACCATTGTCCATTGTATTTGCATTTAGTTTTTGAGTGTGGAAGGGTTTATAGACCTGTAATAAAATACAAAGCATGTTTGGACAGATTTTGCAACTTGTGTCAACATGAAAATGCCATGGATTCAAGTTAGTTTTTTCCAAATTCAAATCTTCGATTCTCCCTAACAATAAATGATATTGGAGAGTTCTTGGACATTTTGGAAAGCTTGTAACATGCTCTACAATCCATATATGAAATGAATTTTGATATTCCAAGTGGAACTATGTGAAAAATGGTCATGAAGATAGGTCAAAATCCTTCCTAAACTAGGGCAAAATTTCACTAAGTTAAAAGTTTCATGGACCCTTGTTCCAAAAATCATAACTTTAGATCCAAGCTTCTTTTGGGATAACTTTGTGAATAAAAGTTGTATATTTTGTGGAGGACTACAACTTTCGTGTTGGAAGTTTTGTTTGAATCCAATTTCATCATGGAGAAAAAGTTGGGCAAAGTTGGGAAAAATGTGAAAATTTCATAACTTAGAAAAATTCTAAGTTATGAAATTTTTCAATCTTAAACCCTAATTTGCAAAATTAGGTTTCTTGATGAACAAGTTTCATTTGTTGACACATCATGATGAAAAATGACCCTTGGCACTTGATTTTGACCAAAAAGTCAAAGTTTGACTTTTCAGTGTAAAGTCAAATTTTGACCAGTTGACTGAAAAATTCATCTGTCAATTCAATGCATTTGAGATATTTTGACCCTTGTGATTAGGTCAAGATGATGCCATTGAGTCCTTGAATCCATACTTGAACCCAATTTTCCATTGGCTAGGGAAAAATCAGAAATTACCCTTATACAGTCAAAACCCTAAAAATGACCATTTTGCCCTTTTGATGATCTGATCAAGTTTCTTGAGGAGTTGTGGTCCAAACTTTATCAAATGATTCATATGAGTCCATAATGTTGATGTGGATAAAAAATTATGAGGGATTGACTGTAAATTGGCCACAGTTGACTTTTTCCCCAATACAGTTGATTTCTAGGTCAACTGTCCAATTGACTGGGCAAAAATTTGATTCAAGGTTTAAAACTTGGTAGAGATAATATTATAAGTCCAACATAAAGTATGAGAGCCACTTTGAGCATTGAAATTCCAAAAATCCCTGTGCAAACTCAAACCCTAATTTAGGTCATCAATGCAAGGAGATGTCTTGAGCAGAGCAAACCCTAATCTTGTCTGGGGTTCAAAGAGTCTTGTGAGGGGAAATCTTGATAAAATGAGAGGGAAAATTTTGGGGTACAACACTTTTGAATGTAGGATTAGAGTCTAATGGTGATCAAAAGTCACTGTGTTTAGAGGCTCTGAATGAGCTTTTAATGAATATTAGCCTGTGAAGTATCTGTCTCTGATGATTAGAATCTGTTGACTTGTCTTTGATAGCATATAAGTGGAAAAAAATTCAACTTTTTTTAAACATTTGTCCCACTTATGTGCAGAATATATGAAAGATCTTCTTACACGTGTATTGGCTGATGGATATTAATTATTGGATAATGATGAGTTTATTTGAATATCGTGCTTCCCCATTCGTCATTAATTTTTTTATTCGAAACTGAAAAGGAATTTTCACTAAAAGCACTTTATTCAAAATTGACACACTTGGATATCTCACTTCACTACCTACACTTTTGTTTTCAAACCTTCTCAGAAAATAACCTTTTTTCCAAAATCCCCTTTAGAACACTAAAATTCCTTTACAATGGCATATTTTTCTTAACAAACTCCTATGGTTGTCAAATGTAGAAAGAGTTTTCAAATAAAACCCAGAACTATGAAGATTAGATAAGGTGATCTCAAGATGATAACATAATATGTAGTAGATTTTGAATCATTTAGAGTTAATGGGTTTTCTCTGAAGGAACATTTTGAAGTACAAGAATGGATGAACTACTTTGAAACGCTCAATGGCCATACTAACCCCTACCTTTTAAGAACTTATATGTTAGGGAAGAAGAATTTCATGAAGTTGTTGTTGTTATCGTTTAGCTCATAGCGTTGATGGTTAAAGATGAAATTAACAAAGGAAAATCTAGAGTTGGGATGGGTTTGAAGGAGTTCGAAGAAGAAGAGATTAGGTCTATTGTAATGGGAGTTGAAGTGACCATTACTCAGAGCCACATTGTTCATCTTATTAGCGTAAAGAATAAAGGATGATTTGTTCTGATCTCTAAAGAAGGAAGTCCATAAGCAAAGAGGATCAAGTAAACTTTATTCACCCACTCTGATGACTATGGAAAGGTGAAGAATATGTATGTTACATATATGCTTATATTCAAAATTATGATTGGTAGTATGATTCCTAGGGAAGGAAGTACATATCAAATTTCATGGTATCATAAGAATTTCATATGATTTCTGGTAAATAGGGAAAAAATAAATCTAGCTGCATACATCTACTATCATCTGTAAGAAGCTATCAAGGAAATCCAAAAGAAACACAAGAAGAATGTGCCTTATTCAAGGTATGTATCTTAGTTGTTGCATTAGAGTATACTGATTCAAACCCTAAAGGAAACATGAGAATATCATAACTTAGAAGAATCCTATGGGATCATATTGTGTAGTTCCATTCTAGGAATTATGAAGATAACCAACAAGAAGGTTGTTGTGAAGTCAGAAGCAAGTCTTAGAATTTGAAATTCCAAGACTGCTTATCTGAATGATTATCCTGTCATCTCTAAGATGTATAACCCATAGGTGATTTTGGAGTGTATCAAAATGGCCAAAGTAGAAAGTGGTGTTACTATCACTATGTTTTCAATTCCAGATGCATTAGTATATATGTACAAGCCTTCAAGGAAGAGGAAAGTGGTTGCTTTTGAAGATCAGTAATAGGTTCAAAAGCCACCAAAGAGAAAGTTTATGGATATGGTTTAGGAGCAGGTGAATGAGGCTCTATCTTCTATTGTCTTAATACCTACCAAGTCAGGAAATGGAACAATTGGAAGAACACCTTTGAAGGTAACTGCGTCTGCTATCAAATCTACTCATGTGAAGAATAAACTTAGGAATATGGCCAGCTTATGATAAGGAAGGTTGAGGAGTTTGTTGCAGCTATTCTAATGTCTATTGCAGAATCTTCTATAGTTGGGGTTCAAAAGTTGGAAGTAGCTACTATAGAAACTCAGCCTCCAAGAGCTTATATGGAATCTGCGAAATATGATGAAGTTATCTTAAATTTTGTTGGAGAAACTTTTATTGTAAGGTTCATCAACTGTCATTAGTTACAATAGAGTCTAAGGTTGCAAATGTTGTGGTAGGGGAAGAGATAGTTGCTGAAGCAACTCTAAATGTTGCAAACACAATAGAAACAATTATTAATCAAAACCTTATCTTTGATCTAGTTTTAGATTCCAATCCATCACTTGAAACTGAAATACCAACCCTTCACCAACCACATTCACATTCATATGAATGCACACCTTTACCTATTCATAACATGGCTTTACCCTTAGAACCTGACATGAATTCCACTAAACTTACTCAACCATTGATTCCCCAACTATGATTCAGATACTATAAAATGTCCTTCATTCATTTGTCATTGATAAATGTTGTACCCCAAAATTTTCCCTCTCATTCTTAAGGAAATCACCATGGATCCTCAAAGTTTTCTCTTAAACGAATCCAAGCCTTGAAATATCATTTCTTTCTAAGCAAGCCATTTACAAGGACAAAATGGTCATTTGCGCATCGAAAAGTCAAACTTTGGTTTTTGGATCAAAATCAAAACACAAAAATCATATTTCATCAAGACATATTGGAATATGAAGTTTGTTTCATCAAGAAGCTCAAAAGTAAAATTCTACCTTGAAAAAGTTAAATTCTAAATACTTAGAATTTTTCTAAAATATTTAAGAAAAATGACACTTCAGAACTTCTGAACCAATTTCCAGGCAGGAGCAGTCAGAAGTTGCAAACTTAGCTCAGCACATAACATTCAGTCAGAATGTGGCTCTTCAGCAGCTAGGCCAGGTCATCCAGAATTAGCAGACTTTGCTCAACACATAACATTCAGTCAGAATGTGGCTCTTCAGCAGCTACGCCAACTCAGTCAGAAGTTGCCAGAAGATTATAAAACAAGATGAAAAATCTGAATGCTCCTTCAGAACATGTTGGAATCAGAAGGTAAGGGGGTCAGAAGATTGGGTGCTACACTGAAGAAAAATCTCTAAGTCCAGAGTTTTCAGAGGCAAATCAAAGAAACATGCTGGAAAGCCTTGGGATTCCTCAGAATTTGCTGAGGCAGCAGGATACCAAGATCAGAACTTGGGTGCGTTGTTCTGGACTATGCTGAAGTAGGAACTGTTGACTCAAATTTAAATAATGATGCAAATCTCATATTACAAGATTTCTTATTCTTGACCAATCTCATCCCCATTTAATGCTCATTAATGCTCACAACCACTTTTGAGCATTTGTCCAAAGGGTCTCTCCACGTGCAGCATAGCAACGCTCTTGTGTAGATTTAGGTATGGGTTCATGTGCTACTTTTCGCTCATGGGTGTCACTTTTCCTTAATCTTTGCTTACTAACCCAGCCTAGGCTAAAAGCTGTCAATCATCACAACTTTTTATGAACTTTTCTTGAAGAGTAAGTCAACATCTAGTGCATGAGATTGGCGCCACTTAACGTTTTAAAAAACCACAAAGCTTTACCTATAAATAGAACACCTTTGTCCATTGAAAAATCCCGGTCCAAGTTCAGAAAAAAATTGCTGAAAAGAAATAGAAAGTTTTAGCAAGAAAACACCTTGAATCTCTGCCCAAAATTCCCAGACTTCCAATAAAAACTGTGAACACAGCATACCAACCATTAACTTTGAATCTCCTGCTTCAAAACTCCATTTGCTCTCAAAGTATTTCTTAACTAAGAAACACCCACACAGTTTTCTAACTCACATATATACCCTTCATCCATCCATTCAAAGAACCTGTTCAGAACCTCATCAGAGTTAAGGCTAACTCCAGTTCATAGAATTGTTTCCAACTGCAAGGTAAGCACTTGCTGACCCTCACCACATTGCTTAAGCATCACCAGATTTGCATGCTCAAAAATACAATGTAGATATCATGCTTATGATGTTGTGCATATTCTGAGAGTTTCACGCATCTGTATGCTTAAGTAGAGAATGAATCAGTCCAGAACTTGCCTCTGATTTTTTGTTCTGACTTCTGAAACATCATGACACCTGCTGAAACTGTCTTAGGCATGTCTTCTATTTTATGGAGAAATAACCAAATTGCAGATGTTCTGACTAGCACAGAGGGAGACCAAGTTCTGGCAGTGGAACCAGTGCTTATGGAACCTGTTTTGTTATCAGTAATATCAGAACTTCTGAGAATTATTGTGTGCCCAGCAGGTTCAAAACTTCTGACCCCATACATTTTCACTAACATGTTTCTGTTTTGTAGCGTACCAGGGTCAGAACTTTTGACCTATACATTTTCACTAATAGGTTGTTGTTCAACAGCAGGTCAGGGTCAAAACTTCTGACTTCCTCTCAGTAGCACGCTGACTCTTTTCCTTTTACTTTCTTTCTTCCCCTTGTTATTTTCTTTATTTTTCTCGCTGGTACTCCCCATTCAGAAATTTGTACCCCCACCCCCTAAATATTGTAATAGCGTAGGACTTTACATTTCCGCATTTTTATCGCTTTCAAGTGTAAATGTTAGTGATTAGGATATGTATGGCAAGATAAAATCAATGAAATAGAAAATCCTAATTCAAGATAAAGTTATTCATGCAATCAAACACACTTGCACACAAACACCCTTAAGGTTTCTCCACTTGGTTGCTTTATACAAAAATATCCATGTTATGCATGCAAAGTATCTTGGTAAAACAAACAAAATCAAAAGATCATAGTCCTTAAATGATGCTATTCAAAGTTGCCTTATAAAATGATCTTAGTCCCTCGAAAATACTAAGATACTTTGCAACGTTGCTAATCATGGTTATACGATGACCCACGCCCGTCCCGTTAAACATCAAAAGATAGCGTTGCTTACCAAATCAATGGTAAGACAACAATGTCAAAGGAATAAAAAATGAATAAGAAAGACATTAGAGTATGTAGATTACTCCTAGTTAATTTCTTTATTTTTCAATCAAACATCCTTGCTATTTTTCAAAACAAACACACACACATTTCCCAAACAACTTACAAACATTGAAAACATTTTCAAAAAGACAAACATCTTTTTATACATTCTTACGAACGAGAATCATTACAAAGATTGCTTTAACGAATGGCCTATTTTTTACAAAATACTTTCAAAACCACATAAACCACCATTTCAAACAAAAGCAAGTGATCTAGCAAGTACTTAAGAGCCCATGGAAAACCATGGATGAAAAGGGTGCTAATACCTTCCCTTTTCATAATCCACCCTCTGAACTCAAAAATATCTCAAAAAGGTCATTCCTATGCTTTTTGACCTTTCCTTTTTGATAAAAGAAAAGTCGGTGGCGAGTCTTGCTAAACCGCAACATTTGCGAACACAAATGCAAAACCTCAAGTCAGTTCTCCCACCGTATCACAGAATTGGCGACTCTGCTGGGGATTTTATAAAAGTGGGGTTACCTTAGGGCTAGATCAAATTTTTTTGCTTACATTGTTTGATTTTTTTGCTTTACATTATGGTTCTTTGTTTGGGTTTGAATCCTCCACACGGATTTGGGAAACATTATAGGTAAATAGCAATACATTATGGAAACTGTGCTGGGTATACCGATATGGTCTAAGAAATAGCTATGTTAGTGTGACATATTTGTGGGTACCGGTAGCCCTTGAGTAGTCAAGGAGAATACGGGGCCGCCGAGTGATGTCGCGAAGCACTAACGAGCTTTTAGAACCTTTACTTGACCAACTTGGCCTTTAGGACATAGTGAGATGACCGACTTTGGTACAATCTGAAGTTGGTAGATACTCGATACTACACTCATTGAGGGTTGGTTTCTTGGAATATTTCGGTCTCCATTAAAGAGGCTTAAACTGAAACAATTTACAAGGAAACAATCCAGTGATATTGTGCTCCTTAGAACCCGGTTACTATTGCTAGGACAGGTTAAGCCAACTAAACTTCAAGAGGGTACTTACCTATAAAACCCCATGCAAGCCTAAACTAGGAACTTGATTGCTTTGCTTATACATGCATACTTGTACATAACATCATGGACATCATGAGCATCATATGCATCCACTAACCATTTCAAGGATTTTAGAGATTCATCTTTGTTCTTGTTTTGTAGGATATGGATTCACTTCGCAGGAAATCTATCCAAGTCAACCTTGTAAGAATTCTGCCACAACTCAAGGAGCTAGCTTCAAGGATCCCTGAGAACTCTCCATTCACCGAGATACATGGTCGCCTACTCAGCTTGGTCACCTCCAACACAGAGGAGGATATGATGAAGGTGCTCTTCCAGTTCTTTGATCATTTGCATCATTGCTTCACATTTCCCGACTACCAGCTTGTGCCTACTTTGGAAGAATTCTCTCAACTCTTGAGGATTCCCATTCTTAATCAATTACCTTTCAATGGTACGGAAAGAGATCCAAAGCCAGAAGAGATTGCACTCATCTGATGTCACAACCCATTGGGAAACTAGAAGTGGTGTCAAAGGCTTCTTAGCAAAGTTTATGTATGAGAAAGCCCAAAACTGTTGGAATTCCTTAGACCTACAAGCTTTCGAGGAAATTGTGGCTCTCCTCATCTATGGGATGGTTTTGTTCCCCAATCCTGACTAACTCATAGATGTGAGTGCCGTCAAAATCTTCATGTCACGCAATCCAGTGCCTACATTGCTAGGGGATATCCCAATCAGTCTTAAAGAATGAGCAAGGATTAAGGTGGTCACAAAGGTTAATGACTCTCAAACATTCATATATTCATCGGTGTTCCCGATCCAAAGAGAATGTTATCATTGTTGACCGTTCTGGGGAATACCCTAATGTCCCTCTACTTGGAATTAAGGGAGGCATCACCTACAACCCATGCTTAGCTCTAAGACATTTTGGTTATGCCCGAAGGGATGGCCCGCACGAGATGCTGATTCAAGTCTTGGTATTCAACTACGACAACGATAATCAAGGTATTCGCCAGAGATTCATCCGAGCATGGAGGATACTAAACAAGTTGGACAACAAGACTTTGAGGCACAAGAATTCCATCCCTCTTGAGCCTTACCTCAAGTGGGTACGAACCCGACCCCAAAGTCT